CTCCTACCTTACAGGTCTACAGTTCGAATCTCCCTACAGCCTACAACCTACGGCGACCTACTTACCACTGGCTATCGTGCAGGTCACGGGTTCAACTCCAGGGAACTGTGCAGATACTGTACACAGGTAAGCTGAGGTCAAAGGATCGACCCCTGGGATCTGCACCGGCTACTGCCAAAGGTGAAAACTGTTTCAAAGGGAGATGGGGATCTGTGGATTGAACGAGAGAGAGAGGATACTTACCTGTTGCTGATGTCGATACTGTGTGCTGCTGAGCGTCTTCATGGGAGAAACAGTGCCATGTGGCACTCTGATGTGATCAGGCCCTGTCAGGCTCGTTATTGGACACTATTTGCTGACGTGGAGGCAAGGGGAAGCCCGGAGAAGGAGAGGGAATTGTTGGGCTACTATCTCTGTGGTCATTGATGGATGCTTACTTTTCCACCCTCTAAACTGCAATCAGATTCGCATACTTCGTCACTTCACATGCATACAAACAGATGGTGAATCACTCTGGCGCATAGCGCCCAACTCACAGCTCGAAGATATGGAAATCAAGACACAGTTCAGATATGAGCTCGCTTCAACAGGCTATGGTGCCTCAGCACCCACACATCGCAACTCTTGTCTCTGTGTACAACACCACTGTTCGCTTCACACTTCAACTCCGGATCACCCTGGATACCCCACGCACACACACTGTACACACACACATACACACCTAACACTAAGCTATGGCAGCTATGGCCGCCACTAACTCCTTCTAGCCCACTTCGACTTCAGGCTCCTCTGCAGACCACCTCGCACAAGTCACCGTGGCAGCGCTTCCGCATGGCTTCCGCAGGAATGAATGAATGGCTGKGCGCTGCCTCTTGATTTATACTTCTGTAACTCGTTGGTCTGCCTCTTTCCACCGGGCCCACGGTGCACACAGTCCCCCTTGGTACTTGCTGACTGTGCAAAGTGAGACTGGGACTGGGTACTGCTGACTCAGCGAGGTTGGGCACACCACTTGCCCACTTGCCTCTGGCCCTCTGTGTAAGACGTGAGGGGAAACTCGAAAGGCCACTTCCGGACCTTCCGGAAGACCGTGGACTTGGCCTTTCAGTACTGTAGCAGCTACGACCTTGACCCTTCAGGACCGTAGCAGCTACGACCTTGACCTTTCAGAGGAGCTACAGCTACGACTTCCAGAACTCACTAAGACTCCTATCCGACTGGTCTACAGATCGAATCCCCTACAACCTACAGACCTAAAACAGCCTACCAACTGTTTGCGAATACACAGGTTACAGGTTCAAATACTCAGGGGTCAGCTCGATACTGTACATGGGTGAGGTAAGGTCTGGGGATCAAACCCCGGCATCTGCATCTGCCTCTGCAAAGGTGAAAACCGTTTCAAAACTGTCTATTCCCCCTCTCCTCTCTTCGTCCATTGGTTACGAGACATTGTATAAGAGATCACATTCACGATTATTGGAGACATTATTCAGCACTGAGTTATCTTGTACTTCGACACTTGACGAGTATCGTCCAGACTGGGTTCATTACAATTTGGTATCAGTACTATCAGAGCTTACCTTCCTCATCGCGATCTGCTGTCCGGCGCCAGGTGGCGCCCAGCTAAGTTCGGGGAGGGGCCGTGCGCGTCCAAATCGCATTCTTTGACGCACACGATTATTATCACAGGTCTAGACATTGTATGCGCACGCGCGTACCATCTCCCTGAAGATGATGACGCGGACCAGCTGAAGAGAAGACGGCGACATTGCATATGCGGCGCATGGTTGTTGACGTGGTGATCAGATTCTGGCGCGTGCGCGCACGCTGTCGGGCGGCTCCAGCCCTACGCCGCCCTTTACTTCCCTTATAAGGGGGCGCGACGAGAACACTATTTGATTGATTTTACCTCACAGAGGCTTGGGGACATGGGAAAATGCGGCGAAAGGATTGACGGCGCAAGTGGCCGGATCACGACACTCAGTCTGGTGGAGCTCGAGCATTAAAGGCCGGTACCCTTGTGAAGAGGGTGTGCACGTCAGCCACCGACGCACGTAAAGAGGCTATCACAGAAGAGGGTTCGTCGAGGGTTCAGCGCGAGAAGCGCGACCGCAAGGGGCAGAATCAAACTAAAGGTCGGCGGAAGAGCTGGGGGAAAAGAGGTGCGGGGCGCTTAACGCGAGGCCTTGGGCATCTCGAGCAGTGGCAGCCTCCGAGATTGCCGCGAACGATCGAGTTCCGGGAATGCCCTGCGTGGATGAATGGTGGGGGCCGACCGTATGGGGAGGCCTTGGCCCTAAGGGAAAGAGGCATTCAGCCCAAGGTTCCGGGACGGGCCCAACAGCTTAGGATTTCGAAGGGGCCTACGGGGTTTTATTAAGGGCCCGGTACCACCTATGGGCGGGGACCACCTAGGCTCGGATAGGCCCGGGGCAGGTTCGGGGAGAGCATCGGTACCAGGGCGCTGCAAAAGGCCCGGTTCCCGATAAAAAGGCCCTCCTCGCCGGAAACCTTTCAGGGGCCCCAATCAGGCTCGAAAGCAGATCCGGTACCTGGGCGCTGCAGCTTGTCGGCAGCCTCGGTGCACACAAGGGCCGAGGCACTTCGAGGGAGGGCCCGGCAAAGTATATAAGCCGAACCGGGCCCGGGATAGACACTTCTCGCATGCACTGGTGGAGGGCGCACGAGACGAACAGCGAGCTGGAACACGCACGCATGGGAGAACGGAAGAGCGGGAGCTCTCAGGAGCACGCGGAGGTGTGGTAAGAAGGGCGCGCACACACGCACACAGAACCGCACACCGTTGGGATCGGGGGCGCGCTATTGCGCGCACACGTGCACAAAACCGCACCCCGTTGGGATTGGGAGCGCGCTATTGCGCGCACACACGCACAAAACTGCGCACCGTTGGGATCGGGAGCGCGCTATCGCGCGCGCACACGCGCACAGAACTGCGCACCTTTGGGATCGGGAGCGCGCTATCGCGCGCACACACACGCACACAACTGCACACCGCTGGGATCGGGAGCG